CACGGTTGACGTTCCTGTGTAGTATGGGGCTAGCCCAACCGAAGAGATAAATGTATAAGGCCTGTTGGGTTCGGGGTCTTTCATCTTCCAGCTGCCTGCGTGCATGTTGGGGGTGCAAGATACCTGAGCGTGTAATGTTAATTTTTACCTGTGTTCATTGAATAAATCAGCACTGTATTGAAGTTACTTGGACTGCCTCGTCTCTCAGAATTAGCGTGGTACAAGAACTGGAAAGACTTCACTACCAATCTATTATTCCGAAGGGAAATGTGGAGTGGCACTTTCAGACTGTTCATAAAAACTACGACACTCATTCAACATTTATTTTTTGTGTGAGCGCGCACGTAGGTCGATCATTTTGACTTCGTCATTTGAAAAAGTAGCTCGCAAGGCAAAAAAGTGTGGGCACCCCTGATTTACAGTCTCTACTTGACTACAATGTGGACAAAGACCTGTAGGGTGTTTACCTATTTTGTGCAGGGTATAATTTAAACTTATTCTCAAGCGACTTACTACACTTTCCTATTTTCTAGTACCAGTCCATGTCTGTTGGTATCCAACAACCTTGTACAAACCAGCTTCACACCCATCCCACTGTTCTTGCCAAACTTTTTGAATATGAATATTAATAGGGATTTCAATTCAAATCTAGAAATTTGGATATGCCTTGTAACTGCATCAAATTTGAAAGACTGTTTAGCAGCAGCATCAGCCTCCTCATTACCATCAATTCCGGCATGAGCTGGAACCCATAAAAAGCTAACTGTGACACCTTTCTTATTCATCAGGAAACTGAAAAAATGTTAAGGTTAGTCCCCCTCGCCAGGAGGGTGAGGGAGAACTATGGGGTAGGACTCAAGACTGCTGACCCAGGTGCTAGTACAAAACAAACGGTTTAATTTTAAACAATACAACAAAGCAACATAACAGTGTCCAGAATACATACAAGCGAAGGGGGAGTGACAACCACGGAAACCAGGACGAACAGGTACACTTACAACTTAACGGCAGGAATACGGAGAGCAGGAGGATGAGGGCAGACTAGTGAAGGACAGAAAAAGTAGCAAAAGAAACCCGAAAAATCAACAGCACGGGGACCGTCAGCGTTGAGATCTCTGCAAAAAGCACAAACGCGAATAGTTCAAGCCAGAACGCACAGCGACTGTCAGCGTAGCCTTCTATTCTACGTTTTCAAGTGTAGTTAACATTCACAATGACAGACATAAACAATGATCCGGCGACGGTGGAGCGTCTGCCAGAGGTTTAAATAAGAACGTAATCATCGGGATGCACCCCAGCTGTGTGCGCCGACAAACCAGCCACCAATCACTGGAATGCAACACAGCTGAGGCGCAGAGCCCACAAAACGGAGAAAACAAAGAGACAAAAAAGGAGGAGAGGCCGCGACCGCCGAGCGGCCCCGACAGACAAAC